TGTACAACTCCTAGTGCATCATTATAAAGAACTCGCACCCATTTCCTGAAGTTAGGGCCTACTCCCATTGTTTCCATGCATTGTTGTAGGAAGTCCCAATTAACTCGATCGTAAGTTTTTTCGAAGTCAAAGAAGAGGATAGCTGCATTCATTTTTTTGTCTTTGATGTATTTTACTGATTCGGCGAGAGTCATTACATTGTCTAGAATGAATCTACGCGGTATGAAGCCTGTTTGGTCTATATGGAGACAGTTTTTTGTAATCTTTCTTATCCTAGTTGCTAGCAGTTTGGCTAGGATTTTGTACGCGACTGTTAGCAGGGTAATAGGCCTGTAGTTTTTAATGTCCATGGGGTCTCCCTTCTTGTAGAGTAGCATGACTATACTTGTGCTTAGAAATGGTCCCAGACCTTCTTTGTCCCATGTTGTCTTGATAAAGTTGTTGAATTCTTCCCCTAGCAGAGGCCAATATGTCTACCAAAAATCTTTGGAGAGTCCATCTAGGCCTGGTGTTTTCCCGGGTTTCATGGTATCTAGGGCTTTTTTCAATTCTTCACTGGTGATTGGTTGGTCGAGCTCTTCAACCATGCTGAGGGGGATTGTCTTGTCTAGATGTTTGCATAATTTTTCTCTAGCCCGTAAGACTGACCTAGGCGTGGGGCTTTCTGTTTTGGAGGAGGTGAGTTCTTTGTAGAAAGATTCCGCTATATCGAGCATTTTTTTTGGACTTGATGACAACCCTTCCTCCCCTCTAAGTTGTTGTATGGCTGACTTTCTTCCTCTTGATTTGATTTTTTGAAAGAAGAATTTGGTTATTTTTTCACCTTCTTCCCATTCCTTGATTCTTGCCCTCAGTCTCAAGCCGTTTGCTCTCCAAGAATTATAGTTGGCCAGCTCTGTTCTAGCTCTAGATAGTAGTTCTTCGTAGGTTGTAACTCCTGGGTTAGTGTTGAGGTCTAATTTTGTGAGGTTAACTGCTGCTTCTAATTCTTTTATGCGTTGATTTCTTCTGGCTGCCAGTTTTCTAGAGGCCGATGATGCTGCTTTTGATACGTTGTTTACTAAGGATGGGAAATTTGATTTCTCCCTCTCGGAAACTATGCATGCTTGAACAATTTCTTCTCTCGATTCTATTCTTTTTAGTATAGAATTGTTGATCTTGAAAAAACCTGGCCCTTTTTGTAATCTTGGGTCAAAGAGAAATTCTATGAATATTGGGTTGTGGTCAAGTCCACTGTGGTAGGGTAGTTTTCCTATACCTGTGTTGAGGATCATTCCTCTGAGCAAGTCGGATACTAGAAAATAGTCTATCGCCGAGTTTGAGATGTGTTGTGTTTCTATTTCTTTTTCTATATGTGATTCTATTTGCCTCCGGGTGTATTGTTCTAAGTGGTTCTATTAAGTTCCTTTCAAGCATTAAGACGTGCATTATCTGGACTTCCGTTTGCAGTGAGGAGTCGCGGTCTCTTTGTGAGCATGAGAGTATGTCCCTAGTTGGATCTAGAGTAGTGTTCCAGTCACCTGCAAGCACTAAGTGTTTTTGTTCATCGCATATTACTGTTAGGTTTTGAATGAAACACTGTCTCTGAGAGAAGTCGTTAGAGGCATAGGCATTTATTAATTGGAATGATTCTTCCTTGTAGTGGAAATGGGCCTCTATCCATCTTCCGTTAACTAGGTCGAGTCTTCTCTCAACCATCTGAATTAGGTTGGCCGCTATTGATTTTTGGTGCCAGAGGACTGTCATTCCTACTGAACCTGCTCTCAGAGAAGGGGCCCAGAGTGCAAAGCATACATGTTTTAATCTGGTTATTATTTTGTTAATTATGACCTTGTGTTCTTGAGAATCCGACAAGTGTGTTTCTTGTAGACAAACTATGTCACGTGGATTCTTTGTAAACCAGTTCATATAGCTTACCATATTGTCCCATTTGTATGTGTTGGTTAATATTGATGCTAGCCCATTAACGTTCCATGAAACCACTGACAGTTCAGACTTTTTGTGTTTGACGGAAAAGTGGTTGAACTGGCACCCCCTTGGTCACATACTGACCGGAGTAGTATCGTCATGGGATGTTAAATGGGCACTCGTGCTTTTGCTTGTTTCATTTGAGGCTTAGTTGAAAGGGGATTCATTGTAGAGAGCATGCTTGACCTGGCGGGCCTTTGTTTCCAAGATCTGGTTCAACTGTTCCTCCCTGCCATCAAAGATTTTGTGCCCTTTGACTATTGAGGCTGAGACTGCCGCTCTTTCTGCGGGAATTTCTCCCCCCATGAGTCCATAGGAGATTGTGTGAAGTACCTTCCATGGTTTCCAAACAATGTGGTCCCTGAGTTGGGCTTCCATTGAGTAGCGCACCATGTAGGGTCTCAAGTCACTGACTAGGATGTCTACTGTGTCGTCCAACCATTCTTCTCTCCAATCATCCTTTGAACCGAGGATGTGTGCTGATACTGGTGCGTCCTTGGAGATGTTGGCAGCAAGAACCTTGTTGGAAGGGCTTGCCAAGGCTATGGGAGACCATGATTTGACTACAGCAATCTCCCAACCTTCATGCTCCTCGTTTCACCGATAGGGCAGTACTACTCTTTTCTTGCACCCCCCTTTGGCTTCTAGTCTGGCTGCTGTGAGGATCTCGACATTCTGTCCTTGGGCTAGCCCTTGTAGGTTGAACGTATCATCTGTTGTTTCTCTGTTCTGATCTCTAAAAATTGTGATCTGGGCATGTAAAATTTCCTTCTGACTGTCCAGGTCTTCTCTTGTGCTCAGGTGGATATCTTCTCCCAAGTTCCCTTCCACCTGGGCTGGGTTATTTGTTTTTTTTTGCTCTTTCCCTTTTGCGCCCTTGACTTTCTTGCTTGGGTGGATGCTTTCTGCTTTTGCGTACGTCTTCGGCCATTGAATTGCGATCTGTGTGGTTGCAATTTACCTCCTTGCTTGGTCCAGTCTGTGCCCGTAGCGTTCTGCGAAAAACTCAGACAATTCCTGTCCCTTTTCTAGTATTTCATACTGGTTTTGGGTTGGAACTTGAATGGTGGGGTCAACCTGGTTAAAGGTGAAGTTTTGCAGATTGAGGAGGTGCCTTTTGTGTGCCACTCGAATTTCGAATTCCACTTCCCTTTCTCTTTCGAGATTCTTGACATATCATTGAGCCATTTAAGTGAGCTTCCCTTACCTCCTTCGTGCTCACCTGGCTGTTCGTCTTGCAGGTTTGTTCTTTCTCCCTTTGAGTCTTGGGACATCTTGTCGTCCTCGTCCTCACCTGATTGTTCATTGGTTTTGTCTGTTTGTCTTTCCGCAGTGACTTCCTTCCCTTTTTCTCCTTCCCCTTCTTCCATTTTGCCTTTGCTGTCCTCCTCATTCTCCTTCTCTGTTTTCTCTATGTCCTCTTGTTCTCCTTCTTTGGTATCTGCCTCCATTTGGTCTATTGTGGAGGTTGTCTCGTTAGTTTTGCTTGCCTTGTTGGTAGTCTGGCTGTTTGCTGAATGGGTTGAGGTCGTTTGCTCGGCCTTTCTTTTGAGCGGTTTGCCTGTGTTTTCTGTGGAATAGATTCCCTTTGTGCTGGTGACTTTCTGTTCTTACTTTTGTGTGCTCTCTCTTTGTGCTTTTTCAGCACACAACACTTTCCCCCTTGCTTGTAAGTTTTCAATGTAGGCCTTTTCTCCTGAGGTCCCTATTCTAATGAGGTCATGTCAAATGTCCTTCCTTTGTTTGTCCTCTATGATTCCCTATGCGTTTAGGCATTGTTTTCTTAGGAATCCGCCATCCTTGTCCTCGATTCTCTTAGAACCCTTCTTTTGCCACTGACTCCCAAAAGGCGGGTAGATGTCTGGTTGGTTCACCGGTTCGTCCACCAGCGTCCAAATCCATTTTGGTGCCTCTAGTGTGTCGTTAAATACCCAGCCTCTGTAGGCTGGGTCGTTGACGAACCACAGACCTGCCTTTAAGTCGCATTCAACCAGGTTGGCTTGGATTTGACCCGGTTTGGCTCCTCTTTCTCTGTTGAGAGGACAGTTTCTGTTTGTGCCCAGGTGACCTTTCCCCCTGCATCTGAAACAACAGGGATTGGTTTTCATGGAGAGAAAGACAGTCATTTTTTGCCCATTTCTCCTGAAAAACCATACATCTGCGAATTGAGGTGGGACGCCTCATGGCACTTGCAGGCATGTTATTCTTGAGTCGTGATTTGGCGCTAGGAAATCTGGTCCCGATTCAAACCATTCTATGGCTGGGTTGTTCGGATGTGCCTCTGTCAGCCTTTTCTCTACGAAGCTATGCAGTCCTTCTGGGATGTTGTCAAATTGGATCCAGAAATTGCTTCTCAACATTGCTTGTTTGTGTCGAGATGCATCTGGTTGAGGAGCTCTTAAGGGTTTCCAACTGGTAACTGTGACCACTCCTTTTTTACATTTCAGACTGCTGAGGGAGATGGGATACCTGTCATAGGCTTTGTCCGGACAGACTATCATGACTGTGTTTCTTGTCCTCTTGTGATAAGTGACTACTGGTTCCGTTCCTGGTATCTCTTCCAAAGAGTGGAGGGTATCCCTTACCCAGGTACGCTTTTCATTCGGCAACGTGTCTGAGCACTTCTGTGAGAAATTGAATAGGACTGCGTGTTTTTCAAAAACTTCGTTGCAGCTTGCTTCATCTTCTTCTGGATATTCCCAGATTTCTATTGTTTGGCTCTCTCCTCCGTATTCGGCTGGGGATGTTTCCTTGGTTATGTTAACCTTGGCTTTTACTTGTGTGCTTGAGATCAGGAATTCCATGGCCCTTTGGCTTAGAGTTTTGTGAGGTGAGTTTGACGTGTCCTGTGAAATTTCCGTTGACTGTGCTTGTGTGTCCGACTGTCCGCCGTTTGATCCTTGGTGCGGTTGTCTCGTGTGGGTCGGTGAAGCTGGAGGCTCTGGGTTGTCCTTTGGTTTAGGTGGCCTTCCGTCCTCCATGGCGACCGCTTCGGCGAAAGACTTGGCGATGGTGAGAAAGAAGCTCTGGAAGTTGGCTTTTGGCCTTTGTTGTACGACTGTAACTGGTTCTCTTAGATAGCAGGATTGAAAGAAAGGTCTTTGTGATGTGGGTCGTGGCCGATGTCAGGCGAGGTGATTGAGGGTGGGTGAACAGGTGGAAGGGTTGCTTGACTTGGTGGATACTGCTTGGTTTCTAGCGTTCTGCCTGGCTAGATTTTGGCAGAGGTTCGCCTCCCTCCCCAGGAGCTGGGAAGCAAGGGGTGTTGTGGGAGGGATCGAATGGAAGAGGGATATATGGATAAGAGTTCTTGCTGCCTTGTCAAGGATTGGGGAACACTTACTCTCTCCTCGCGGGGATAGGAATAACCGGTGTATTAAAATGACAGAATGCTTCCACTTTTGCTCTTGAGATGAAGAACAAGACTTGTCACCAATCGTTACAACAGCGGGTCAAATTACAGCGCTTTGCCGTCTGCCTGAGAAATTTGGCATAAAATTCCCTCCCCTTCTGCCTGGGAGGTGGTGGTGCAAAGGGATCAGGTGAGATGTACCGATTGGAGAGTGATCAACTGGAGGCTGTTTGTCCTGTTAATAATTAATTGTCATTTCCCTTCCCCTTTTGGGGATGGGAATTACGGGCGAGAGGATGCGGCCAAAATTTCCCGCTCTTGCCCTTATGACGGAGGAGGACGAGTGTCGTCGCGATCGCATGCTTTGAATGTGACTTTATACTGCCGCGGCTTGTTGCCGTACTTGCGATCGGAGATGACGCGGTCAACTTCCTGATGGCCATCCATAGAAGGAGGGTCCTGCGATCGTCGGTCCGGAAAGTCGTCGCTCTTGGCTGGCGTGTAAGTTGCCAGCTTCGAGGCGTGGAAGACCGGATGGACCGTCAGATGCTCTGGAATGTTGATCACAAATGAAGGGCCATCGGGCTCATCGCCCGCGGCTGCTGTCACAGACCAAGGTCCAAACCACTTGGGAAGCAGTTTGCGTGAAACATCCTGTTCCAGTGCAAACTCTTCCGCGGAGACCCAAACCAGATCACCGGCGCGGATGGGACATGGTACGCGGCGCCTGTTGGCTTGCTGCTGCATGCGGAATTGAGCCTTTTGCATATTTGCGAGGGCTTGAGTCAGCAATTCCCTGTACTTCCGGACGGAAGAGGGAGAGCAGGCAGCGTCAATGTCGGCTGGTCGAGGGAGGAGAAGGTCGGCGAAGATCCGGCCTTTCTGTCCACCGTGGTGCAACTCGAATGGAGTCGCGCCGATCGCCGGATGCACCGAAGTGTTGTAGGCGAACTCGATGTCGGGGAGGCGGTCAACCCAATCTTTCTGGTCCGGACGGATGAGCGTACGAAGCATTATTTGAGCGGTTTGATGTGCCCGCTCCGTCTGCCCGTCTGTCTGAGGATGTCGAGCCGAACTTGGTTTCATTGTTGTGCCGAACTCCTCCATAAGAGCAGTCCAAAACGCCGACATGAAACGAGTGTCGCGGTCGCTGACAATGTCTTCTGGTACACTGTGGCCACAAATCCAACCAGTGTGCAGGAGGCGTGCCAGCTCGGGAGCCGTGGAGTAGTACTTGCAAGGGAGAAAGCGCGCGTACTTACTCAATCGGTCCACAGCCGTGAGGATGCCGTCGTGCTTAGCCGGTCGCGAGGAAATGGACCGGTGACGTCCATGGCAATTGAGAGACCGGGTTCCCGTGGGATAGGCATCGGGTGTAACTCGCCGTAGGGATTGCGGTTGCGGGGCTTGCTGCGTCGGCAAACTTCGCAAGAGTCGCAATACCGAGTGACATCGGTAATGAGGTCGGGCCATCGGAATCGCTGTCAAAGTCGTGCAATAGTGCGGTTGACTCCGAAATGGCCGGCGAATCGTGAATCATGATACTCGCCGAGGAGGCGAGTCCGAAGACGACGGTCGCGTGGGACACATAGTAAGTCCTTGCCTCTCGAGTGGAGGAGCAAGTRCCCGTCGACAATGCAGTAATGGCTGGCCGGCGGGTGATCCGAAGATAGCTGCGCATAGAGCGTGCCGAAGTCCGGATCAGACTCATATGCCCGGATGAAGTGTCGCTGAAGATCCTCGTCGAATGCGAAGGCATGATGTGTCATAGCGCAAAGATCTGGTCTTTGCGAGAGTGCATCTGCTGCGCGATTTGAGAGGTCGGGTAGATGTTTCGGTGTGAAGTCAAACTGGTCGATGAAGTACATCCATCGTCCGATCGTGCTGCTCACCGTATCCTGCGTCTTGTAGTAGGTCAATGKATTGTTSTCCGTAACCCATGTGAACCTACGACGCCCAAGGAGGAAGTGCCGCCATCGCTTGAGAGCCATGACGAACGCGAGTAGCTCCTTCTTCCTTGCATCATCAAGCGAGTTGATGGGAGACACTTTGTGGCTGAAATACTCCACAGGGTGCCAGTCGTCGCTGTCGTGCTGTTCCAAGACTGCCCCAATGTCGTAGCCGGAAGCGTCCGTAGTCACTCTCGTCGGCAAGGTGGGGTCATAGATGCTAAGGACGGGTGCCATGAGCATAGCCGTCTTAAGTGCTTGGAATGACCGGCGTGCGCCGTCATCAAATACGAATGGCACCTTTGGCAACTGTAACCTCGTCATAGGTGCAGCAATCCTGGAGTATCCGGTGATGAATCGCTGATAGTAGCCCGCCAATCCCATGAATGAACGAACGTCCGTGGTGTTGGTGGGCTCGGGCCATACTCGTAGGGCCTCGATCTTGTCCGCGAGCGGACGGATGCCTTGCGGCGTCACATAATGGCCCAAGTACTCCAGCTCCTGCCGCGCGAATTCACACTTGTCGCTGTTGGCTTTGTACTTGGCCTGTCGTAGCCGCTCCAAAACGGCGCGCAGGTGCTCCACATGCTCCTCCAAACTCCGGCTGTACACCAGGATGTCGTCGAGGTAGATAAGTACGTAACGATCCAGCATGTGTCGGAACTCCGTTGTCATAGCCGCGTGGAAAGTGGTCGGGGCATTCGTAAGGCCAAATGGCATGACCAGCCATTCGAAATGCCCACACCGTGTCTTGAACGCGGTCTTGTAGCGATCCTCATTGCGAATCTCGAGTTGGTGGTACCCTGACTTGAGATCCAGCTTAGAGAAGAACTGGGCGCCGCCCAATCGCTCGAGAAGGTCGTCGATGCGTGGGAGAGGGTCGGCGTTCCTGATCGTCTGCGTGTTGAGCTTGCGATAATCGATGCACAACCGCAAGTCCTTGTTCTTCTTCCGGACGAAGAGAACAGGAGCACCGTATGGCGATGAGCTAGGCCGAATCCAGCCTTTCTCTAAAAGGTCGTCGAGTTGTGCCCGAAGCACACTTAACTCTTCCTCGCTCATTCGGTAGATGCAACCGCGCGGAGGTACGGCCCCGTCCTCGAGGATGATCTCGTGGCGGATGGGTCGGCCCGGTACTGCTCCGTGCGGGCCTTCGAACATGTCGCTGTAGGCATCGAGAAGTTTGGTGATTGGTGGACCCGAAGGTGAGTCCGTCGATGAAGCGTCATGGGGCGGGAGGGCGTGGAGAAAACACACCCCCATCTCCTCGATGTCGTCTCTAATGATGGAAGCTCGCATGCTTGCGGGGGATACCATGTGGCAGCTGATTGAAGGATGAGGAAGAGGCACCGTGCATGGAACTAATACTCCGTTCCGGTCACGAACGTGAACGGTGCGGTTGAAGAAGTTCACCGGGTGATCCTTGCTTCGCAGCCATGACATGCCCAAGATCATGTCGAATTTGGTGTCCAGAATGTCAAAGGACACCGCCTCACTTGCGTGAGGGGCAAAGTACAATGGGACGGCGTCAATGCACTGGTCGATGAACTTGTGCGTATGACCGTCTGCCAGGGTGACTTGCGTAGGCTGGGACTTCCTCCGGACACGTGGGCCAAGGCCGGCGCGTACCATGAAGTCCTGGCTGATGTAGTTGCGAGATGTTCCGCAATCGATCAAGGCACTGCAGGTCGCCTCTCCGATCTGAATGCGTATGTATAGCAATGGTGCGTCGATGTCGTCGTACCGTTGCATCTTGAACTTGCGGTCGATCTTCGCGATGAAAACATGAAGGTCGACAACCTCTGCTCCGGCGTCCATCAACGGAGCTGGTACTGCAGTGTGCAAGTAGTCCCGCAATTGTGCCATAAGCACGTTGCAATG